GGGAGGCGCGTAATTAAGATAAGGTTAGTCACGATTGAGGTCACTTGGCACCTCGGCGCGAAGTAATGTCATTCGAGACTAACGTCCCACACCCAGGTTTTCACACTACAGTGGATTGTGTTATGGTTTCGTGGTTTTTTTTGTAATACTTCAGTACGAACAAGGAGCATTTTTGTCATCTTCGCGGGCTATGAGAGAGGAGGATGATGAAATTCATACTAAGGAAAAAGATAATATTATATAAGTTTTGTAGCCGATTCTCTTGAAGTCACATTCCTCTCATTGTCGCCATATGTTCTTCTAATAGTGTTACCGCTCCTATTCACCTTCATTTCATTGTGTTATTGTGTCTACTCCCTGACAATCTATGTAATATTCAATAAATAATTGAATTTTTATGGCCTTGGAGATCACTATTCTTTGCCGAGCAATTTCTTTTCCATATAGTCAGTGTTGTGAACATTTCTGCATACTGGAACCATTTTTTCATACGAAGCTGGGTGGAAGGTGAGCGCAATTGAGTGGATCTGACCGATATTCAGTTTCTGAAATCAAGTGAATGAGTCGCTTTTAGTGGAGATGTATGAGAGTCAGTTGTGGTTTTGTCACCAATAGGGCGTCTTCTGCTTCTGGACATTCAGCTATGAATTCTTGGAAGTAGCAGATTGTAGAGCACTCCAGAGCCCTGAACAAAGGGAAGCATCTAATATGAGCAACTAGCACACTTGTAACGAAACAGCCAGCAGGGCCTCATGCAGCCGCTGAGACTGACCAAAAGTTATTAGTGACTACAAATTAATTCAGCATAATGACTATTGTGGAGGATGATGTTCGATTTCCTTGCACTACCCTACCCCTTCATCGTGCATGACTTCTACCCTATGCACTACTTCGGTCGTTGGTACGAAAGTCCTACAAGTTTTGCTGACAGGGATCGTTCCCTTCAATTTCCTTACGGGAGCTTGTCAAACAAGGAAGAAAAGTTCGAGCAATGGAAGTAATTAAATCAGTTTCCAGTAGATCAAGTTCACCTCGTGTATCTCATCCTGGGGAGCGAGGCACGTCACGGATTAGTTTCATGATAAATGGGTCACTCTATGCCATCCCTACCACTGAAGACATCAACACTTTATTACAATGTATACGGTTACTAAAAGGCACAGTTCATGATAATTTTGAAGTACCTTATCGGGTCGAAAAACGGAAGTGTTGAGGTAGAGATCGGTGGCGGAAAAAGCGAAAAAATTCGCCTGCTTCAAAGCTTCCTCAAAGTAGTGGAGGTGGAGGTTGTACGAGATCACTGTGACGGGAATGGCATTCAAGTTTGGGCGAGATTTACCTTCACATTTACCTCTCATTGCACAAAGAGATGACTACGTCAAGAAGAAATTGTACGAAATTGTCGTTCACCTTCGCCATGGGTTACGACAAATTGTTTGAACTTCCTTCATGGGAGTCTCTTGAGACAGTGCGGTTTCTACAAAGCCGTGGAAACTCGTCCACTATGGGTGTGGCACTTACTCGCTACAATCACTGGCCCTTTATTGTGCCCTCTCCAGGTCGTTTTACGATTTATATCGGCATGTATGGTATAAGGGGGAGCCTCGAATTCATACTCTAGGGAAATCTCAGAAACCATTTTTATCGTGAACTGCGCCTTCAAAGATGTATGTATGATCCTACTGAGCTTAACGTGCTTAAAGCAGGAACACAGAAACAGGATATTCGGTCAGAAACAGATTTCAGATCTCAGGGTCTCAGATCACTAACGCTCAGGGGAACCCGTTTCGAGAACCTTTAGTTCTGATAGGGCAGGCGAAATTCGGTATCTAATGCTGTAAGCAACTTACAGGCATGAAGTTTCTTGTTGTTTTTCTTGTGAATCCGTTTGCTGTATTTCGTAGCTGTTATGACATCTGTCCTTGCACACTAAATTACTTCAGATTGGATAAGAGTAGTTTATAAGCTAATCGGAATTAAAGATTGTCTAGCAGTTCCAGAAAGGAATGGTTGTGGCACTAGCTTTTCAAATGAGGTCATTGATGACAACAAACATGGAAAATTGTCATATAAACCCCCAACGGAAAAGTGAGCACGTCAGTTTTCTCCGTTCTACAAAAATAATAACGAGAAGGAAAGAAGTTACCATCGTCGACGTCCTTGGCTGCTCTCCGAAGGCAAGGAAGGTGTTTCTCCAAATCTGAAATAGGAGTGGTAGTGTAACCAGAGTGAAGTGGAAGGAGCTTCGATTACTTCGTTGCAAAAACTAAAAAATCTCGCTAAAATAAAAAAATTACTCCAGATTCTTTTTCTGGAATGTTCTGGGATATGTAGGAATTGTTTTATAAGGGCACAACTTTATTTTATGCCCATAACACATCTAGCTCTCTCCTGCTTGCTTAACTAACCCTACTATGGCCGAACTGTCTCCCCATACTCAACACGTTCTTCATTGCGAGTTCGAAGCTAGCAATTCAACTGCTGAAACCAACCGAAACTTGCATCAAGTATTTCGTCTAAAAATCCTTTCGTAGCTATTCTTGTTCAGACCTCGTTTGAACATCTCATGGGCGGAAAAAAAGGCGGTCGAAAATGAGCCTCGATCTGGTCCAGCTGACCATCATGGAACTTCGGTTATCTTATGTGCATGCAAGTGATGATGTCCTTTCTGGTATTCCTGCGCGGAGTTGGTGTGATGGCAAGTGGCGCACTATTACATACGCACAGCCCGGAGATCGCGTACTACCAGATCAAAAGTCGCCTAGGCCTAATCGCAATAATAGAACTTTTCAAACTTGACACCAATTAAAAAGAAGTTTTATCTCTTGGTCAGCATTCCCTTCCATGACCAAGAGGGAACCATCATATCAAGCCCGACTCTTCTGTCTGTTCAATGCGAGAACTCGAACTTGTTTCATGGTATGACTTACTTTTGATTGTAGGCTCACTACGATTTCGATGCTTGCAGTCAACCAACCGTTCCAGAAGAGTATTTCAGCACTCCCGGCTCATGAGAACAACTTTTCGAATGGGTCGAACCGAATGTAAGTTTCATATGAGGGATGAATTGAGCTAGGTGTTGATTTGCGCCACACGTCAGGAGGGAGTGCCTCAGTAATAGAGTAGCGCGATTATGGAATGCTGCAAAATTTGAAGGCAAGTCAAGTCAACACATGCACACAACTGATTCTATTGATTATTCAAATAAAAAGGATAGCATCCCAAAGTGATAGGCTTTTTACATATTAGCATCAATCCGAGCAGGCAGAGAAGAAACGAGGAGACCGCAGGGTGCCAGCCAAAAACTAAGTGGTGGCAAAAGGTGGATTTGATGTAGTTACAGGTGACACACTACCACACGCGTCCGGGGATCCAATCTTATATTCATAGATGCGCAGGCCATCCAAGCCCTCCATTCCTCAGAGCTCCGTTAACTGGTACCATATTCGCCTGGGAAAATATCAGCGCAGAGTTTCACATCGGCTGGGGAATAGGATTCCTGAGAATTTTGTTGTGATTTCAGATTTTCGCCGTTCCTGTCTAAAGCTGTGCACTTCAGAAATCAGTTATTATATGAACACACAGTTCGCTTCATTCCCTACTTTCTGCTCATTTGGTATTCGGATCGCTCTCGTGTTCTCGATATTTAGTAACAGAAAGTTTTGGAATGTGCTATGAAACTATGTACCCACAGAGGACCGTGTGAAGTCAAAAACAACTTCGACTCTCAACGAGGAGAGAGGGATCATCTTTTTTCTCACAAAAACGTTTTATGCTAGGATAGTTGAGCTGAAATTCAGCAGGTAGAAAGTAACGGTACCGAGGTCTGAGGTTCATGCCTTCTGGATTACTTATACCTGCAGTCGAGAAGATATGCTCATGTCTTCTAACGACACACACTTACTTTAGTATTTTGTATTAAAATTTCTTGAAAGGGTGACATCTCAGGTGTTAATCAATCCCGTTTCTGGGATGCGCCTTGCACTCGACTTTCATCCGTGGTGACGGTTTAAATGCGCGCGCCCCTATAGTAGTAGAATAGTAGGATAGTTCAGAACTGAGTGCCTACACAGCCTATGCAACGACTTGCGGTGGCCAGCTGATGTTCAAGGCAGCGATTTGATCCACCTAGACGAGACTGGTACCAAAAAACTGACCCAGGAGGGATGGGAATGCCTGGTTGGCGTGAGGAGATATCGAGCCAGGATTCAGTACCGCGGACCATGGAATTCGGACTTTGAACTAAGGCCTATGAGTTACGTACCTTCTTCGTAGTCAACACAGTGTACTCTGTAGAATGTTGTGAATTGATGGAATTTCTGTTGGTCTTCCTGGGGGCATTTTCGAGCGCAAAACGCTCCATTTTCTAGCCTATCGCAGACCTAAACATGAGAGATTTGAAAACGAAGGGTTATATGATCTTGAAAGAGAATCAGTTAGGAAGAGAGTATGGGAAATGAGAAACATCTTGTTAGCGGGGGACACAATCGGCTTGAAAAGCAATAAGTAGTTCACCTTTTCATAGTGGTTGAAAAGGTAGTGAAAGCTCCGCTCGATTTTGGCCAGAGGCCGTATACACTGCTTTAGACAGTCACTGACATCATTTTGATTCGATGACGCTCCTATAAAAGCCACGATTAACAGGAACGAGAACGAAGACCTCTTGAAGATGCTTTCCTACCAGATGAGAACACGGCTATCAGTGTCAGAATAGGAATCATGGACGTTCAGGTGCAGTTGGTTTGGGGGAGGATTCGCAGACAGCCGGGTCACGGCCGTTGTGGGAATCACCCATCCGGCGCCATACTCAATTTGCGTCCGATTTGGATGACCCCATTTCTGGTTGCGTCACAATATTGAACTTATTCCCTCCCCGATCCTTGGGACGAACTGAGCGATGCTCAATGTTCTTCCGCCTTCAAAGCAGGTTTCGGGAAAAGTGCAAGATCATGGATATTCGAGAACAGGTTCTCTGAAAGGAAGAAGTGCTTAGTTGAGGGCTGGTAAGCGTGTAGACCTCTATGAGAGGGATTACCTGCTAATACTGTAACTATAACTTCCGATACTTCTGCATGAACATGATTTTAAAACTGAAACACTTCACCAGCCAACCTAATATTTTCACAGTAATGACAGAGCATACAGTCGATGGTAATCGAACCCTATCTGTGCTATCTGGACACTGTGCCTACCCATTACACTACCGGTACCCCTTGTCATCACTCAGCTTCTCAGAGGTCCACATCAATTCGAGTCGCTGACAGTGACAGCCCCCAAAGACCAGTTAAAACAACTAGAAATTCTTTACTATTGGTCCCTAACCGCTCCTGTCGATTTTACGACTTATTCTGCTTCATTAAGTAGGCCCCTTATAGGTCCCCTTTCCATCTTTTGATTTTCATTGCCACTCCCTAGAAGTACTAACAAACTTCGGGAGCTTTACGAGAGTTCGTGGCTCGTGGTGAGCCAGTAAAGGAGGACGAATTGTACTGCATTCGTTTGACTCTCCGTCCCAAATGCACCAATACCTTCGGAATGGAACGAGAGAGCCCGACCCGGTCAGTCAGGCTGAACTTGGCCCGTGACCGTGCAGGTTGTACTCGCAAAAAATGCGCGTCAGTCATGTGCAAGTTGAGGAATGCAGACGATTTCACGTATTTTACGACGTCCTTCGTTTGGCGCGAAATGTCTGCGTTTGACTGTACCTCATGGACTGTCTACTTTTTTCCTGGGCTTTTGTTTGTGCAGTGTTTAGGCTAATTTTTCAAAGCTCCTCCTCATCTTGGAGGTCACATTTTCCAACTCTTTGAGAGGTCGTTCATTCGGAAGCCATTTCTTTTCTATGCTGCTTCTTTTCTATGCTGCCGTCCTACAGCTTCTATTTACTCTCTAGGGGTCAGTCCGAAAGACATTTATGACGTCGTGTGAGTTGGCAAAGTTCGACGATTTGAAGAAGATAGGAGAAGGAACATATGGTGTCGTATTCAAAGGGAAGCATAAACGATCTGGAAAACAAGTAGCTCTGAAGAAAATAAGCCTTGACCGGTTTGGTTTCACTCATTCTTTTCTCTCGCTATGTACGAAAAAATAGTTAGTGTTTCAGGGACAATGAAGGTGTACCAAGCACATGCATAAGAGAGATTTGTTTGTTGAAGGATTTAAATCATCGAAATATTGTACGACTTTATGATGTGATTCACTCGGGTGGGTATTCAGAATTTTCGCCTTTGACTAACTTTCGCCTAAAGACCCAGCATTTAGGTATGCAGTTGTATCTAGTGTTTGAGTTTATCGACCGTGATCTGAAATCACTTTTGGACAGCTTACCTGGAAAAAGACTCCCTGCGGAACATGCAAAGGTAGTTACTACTGCTACTTCTGTGTATGATCATGCTTTTCTGATTTGTTGCATTTCATATACCATTCTAAAGAAAAACAAAGCATGAGAGCTTGCAGTTGGAGGGGAAGGGTGCACTCCACTTCTCCAGCCCTACGCGATAGAGCGCTGAAAAGCAGGGTAGCCGGCTCGAGCCTGTAATGGTCCTGGAACTTGTATTTTAAACTAAACCCTAACAAGGAGAGGCCGAGGGGGGAGGCTTGCAAATACGGATACTGCCCCTTCACCGTACATTCGCCTAGTGTTAGGAAAGAGAGGGTCCCCCCCCCCNGCTGACAGTGACAGCCCCCAAAGACCAGTTAAAACAACCAGAAATTCTTTACTATTGGTCCCTAACCGCTCCTGTCGATGGAGAATCCAAAGCGATTCTGCGGGTTACCGCATTTTACGACTTATTCTGCTTCATTAAGTAGGCCCCTT